CGCGGGGGAGCGCGGAGGGCCCTGGGGGGGGGGGGTGGGAGGCGCGGGGTGGTTGGAGGAAGGGGATATGGGCCGCGGGGGGGGGAGGAAGACTGGTTGAGGGGAGGGGCAGCAGTCAACTACCCTGGCGGTTTTGGGGGGGCCTCCCCATTGACACACCGGTTGGGCCTCCTGTGGACTAGAGACATCCAGTTGCCCAGCAGGAGCCTGTGCCCTGCCTGATGGCCCATGGGCCTCCCACTCTCTCTGCCAGGACAAAGTCTACCAGTTCTGCTGCCGTGACTGCTGCGAGGACTTCAAGCGGCTGCGTGGCGTGGTGTCCCAGTGTGAGCACTGCAAGCAGGAGAAGCTGCTGCATGAGAAGATCCGCTTCTCCGGAGTGGAGAAGAACTTTTGCAGCGAAGGTACCCAGGCGGGGAGCTTGATCACTGCCGAGGGCAGAAGCCCCCCCGTGGCAGCAGTCCACTCTGTGGCCAGGTCCTTGCATGCGGTGGGCAGGGGACTGAGGCCGCGCCAGCCTTAGAATCAGAGAGGTGAGCGACGGGGAATCCCCCTGGTCTGCCCGGGGCCAGTGCAGGAAGGTTTGCTGTCAGGTGTGTGTCTGTGTCATGTTTGGCTTCTCCGCGGTTTCCTGCTGTGGGCTTCCTGTTGCTGTTAGGCCGCCCCCCGGGAAGTTTTCATCCATGTTGTTTCTCCGCAGGGTGTGTGCTTCTTTACAAACAGGATTTCACCAAGAATCTGGGCCTTTGTTGCATCACCTGCACGTACTGCTCCCAGACCTGCCAGCGAGCTGTCACCGAGCAGCTGGAAGGCAGCACCTGGGACTTTTGCAGCGATGAGTGCAAAAGCAAATACCTGCTCTGGTACTACAAGGTCAGTGCCCCCTTTCCGCCGGTGCCCCCTTCCTCTTCTTTGGGAGGAGGCTGCCTCTTCTTGTGGCTCTGGGCAGCTTTACAGCAAAGGCCGAAAATGTTCCTGAGGAGAGTAAGTGGGTAAATCCGTTAACGGCTATGAATAAAAGATGCAGTAAGGTCTGTGGCTACCAGTGGGCTGAGCTTCCTGTCCGAACACTCTCCTGAAAAGCACCATCTTCACCTTTTTAGGGAAAACCCTCCAAAGGGAAGGGGGATCTGGCCTTAGGGTCCTAGAGGGAGGGGCCGCTGCTGACAACGTCACTCTCCAGGTCCTAACCCCCCGATCTCTTGTGAGATGGGCTGGATCAGGCATTTTCTGCCTTAAGAAGATGATCCAGGAGCTGTTCTGCCAGCTTCA